TTTAAAACAGCAATAAAATTTGTACTTTTTCCCTGCACATTCTGTTCAATAATGACCGCTAGGTTTCACAGCAGATTTTTCAAAAGTGGCGCCATATCTGAAAATTTCTTGTGCGCAACTTTAATGGTCACTCTCTTTCTAATACAGCGCGTTAAAACCCGAGTCTTAGTTTTAACTTTTAAAAATTAGCTTTTGGCCAACAAAACTGGTCATTGGGACAATGTGAAGAGAATGTGAAAGAACAACAAAAGCTGCGGGACAGGGTGGGTTTAGGCACTGCAAATTAATTTCTTCATTCTTCATAATAATGATCCGATCGGATCCCGATGGCGATCTGATAGATACGGCCATTCTCTACGGAATGGCGTTTTTAGTTTTCTTTTATCTTAAAAACTGTAGATTTGGGATGTTTTCGCCCTTTTGCGGGGGCGGAAGGGGGCGTGGCTCTTTTTTTAAATACACTGGTTTCAGTGTGAGCATATAGCAGTCTGGATGCAAAATTTGGTGGCTCTAGCTCTTATAGTCTCTGAGAACTAGCCGACAAACAAGACGGACAGACAGACATGGCTCTATCGACTCGGCTATTGATGCTGATCAAGAATATATATACTTTATGGGGTCGGAAACGTTTCCTTCTGTGCGTTACATACAACCGTTATTCCCCACCAATACAATATACCCTATTTACTCTTCGAGTACCGGGTATAAATATATATAATATATTTTAAATTGTGGATATAGGAGATTTTTGCACTTCGTAGAGAGGAAACGGCGTGGCTAAATTTTGAAACAAACTTGATTCGGTGTACTATCACATCAGTCGTCACATAAAGTTTGGTGACTCTAGAATCTAGATCTTATAGTCTCTGAGAGCGAGCCGTAAAACAAGACGGACAGACAGACAGACAGAGACAGACGGACAGATAGACAGACATATATATACTCGGCTATTGATGCTGATAAAGAACATAAATACTTTATAGGGTCGAAACGTTTCCTTCTGTGCATTACATAGGTACAACCACTTTCGACCACAAATACAATATCCCCTTTTTTACTCTTCGAGTACCGGGTATAAAAACAACTAAAAAAATAACTAAAAAAAATAAGATGGTGCGACAAAGAAGGGGGTGAGCTTTTAAGCCTTTGTTTTTGCTACAACTGTTGTTGCTGGATGACCTTTTCATATTTGTGGCAGAAGCTGTGGCCGCTTTTGATTCGACGCTCTGTATTGGTTAACGCTTTTCATACACTTTCCGAGAAAACGTTTAGATAAATACCAAAATTGATAAAAATTTTGCAGAGTTAGAAAGAAATTCATACAACTACATTCAACAAACGTATGCAAAAAACGAGGGGGAACGATGTGAGACGCTTCGTACGCATCACAACTTTTATACCATGTCCTCAGTCAGTACATATGTATGTAGCTTATGATTTTTTCGAATTTTACATTATACAATTTCTCTACATATCTTATCATCATATCTACATCACCAGAGCTCCACTGCATGAAGCAAAGTGTGAGAGGGAGAGAGAATGATAAAAAATAAACAAACATTAGCAAAGCTGCTGGAAGGGGTGTTGGGTAGACACTGGACATGAATTCCGTCATTCTGCCTAATGCAATGATCCAATCTTTGTTCCAGGATCTGATAGATAGGGCCATTCTCTACGAAACTGCGTTTTGTGGTTTTCTCTTATATTCAAAATTAAAGTGTTGCACATTCATTTTGCACTCTGAATGCAACATTTAGTTGGTCTAGCTCTTATGGTCTCTGAGAACTAGCCGACAAACAAGACGGACAGATGGACGGACAGACAGACGTGGCAACATACATGCTTATATCGAGTCGGCTATTAATACTAATAAATACTTTATGGGATCGGAAACGCTTCCTTCTGTGCGATACATAATCCACTTTCGACCACAACTACAATGAATGCATGTACATACATATGTACATATGTACACTATTACTCTTGGAGTACCGGCTATAAGAACAAAGACACTCTCCTGCGAAGCGTACAAACAATGCTTGGACAACAATGCAGTCGCAGTCGCAGTCGATTTTTTTCTGTGGGTATATTGCGGTCTATGCTTTGCGGTCTGCGTCAACGCTGGTCTTGGCGCCAAAACGTATAGCTCAACGCATTCGCAGCGTCTCTTGCATGTGGAAATCGGTAAGCATATTACGTTATTACTTTAGCGACACCAACAGCAACAACACTGACACAAAAACAACAATGGAAACAGAGACATTGCAGTTACAACGAGAAGGGACGTGTGAGACGCTTCTTACGCGTCACAACTTTTATACCCGGCACTCAGGACTACATCTAGATGTAGAAGACATCGGCAACCACGAGATATCGTTCACATTACAGAACACGTAGTAAGAGCCTACTAAATAAAATGCATCAAACAAATTGGATCAGTTAATATTTTCTAATTTATGAGATATTTAAAACAGCAATAAAATTGGTACATTCTTGGACCGATAGGTCTCACAGCAAATTTTTCGAAAGTGGAGCCATCTATGACAATTTCTTGTACGCAACTTTGATGGTCACTCTTTTTCTAATACAGAGCGTTAAAAACCGAGTCTTGGTTAAAAGTCGGAAGAGCCAAGCCAGGGGGAAGGCAGAGGCCAGGGCCGATGCTGATCAAGAATATATATACTTTATGGGGTCGGAAACGCTTCCTTCTGTGCGTTACATACAACCGTTATTCGCACAAATACAATATACTCTATTTACTCTTTGAGTACCCGGTATAAAAAGAAACTAAATAGCCAGGTAGGGGAAAAAATGGCAGCAGCGCACATACAAAGAGTGTGCTCTTACTCTCACTAGATCTATTTTTGTGACATATGTTCATATGTACGTAAGATCGCTATTTTCGCAAATAGCAAAGGAAACGACTATCCCCATTGATTTTTAACAATTTTAAAACACTTTTTAATATTTCGTACGTCCAGTTTCTCTCTAATCGAACACGTTTCTCATTTCACTTGGAATTATTACTGCATCTTGTGATCAGCGCCGCTATCACTATCACTTGCTTATTCTGTAATTATTCCACTGCAAGTAGCAGCGCCCGCATTTCATTTTTCACTTCACTGTCCATTGTACCAGCAACGAGAAGGGACGTGTGAGACGCTTCTTATGCTTCACAACTTTTATACCCGGCACTCAGGACTACATCTAGATGTAGAAGACATCGCCAACCACTAGATATCGTTCACATTACAGAACACGTAGTAAAAAGCCTACTAAATAAAATACATCAAACAAATTGGATCAGTTAATATTTTCCAATTTATGAGATTTTTAAAACAGCAATAAAATTGGTACATTCTTGGACCGATAGGTTTCACAGCAAATTTTTCGAAAGTGGCGACATCTATGAAAATTTCTTGTACGCAACTTTGATGTGCAATAATGACCGACAGGCTTCACAGCAAATTTTTCGAAAGTGGCGCATCTGGCTTTGAAAAAAGAATCTTGGTTAAAAGTCGGATGAGTCATCGCCAGGGGGAGGGCAGAGGCAGGGGCCGAGTGAAGCAGAAGCAGAGTGTGAATGAGATAATGTAAAAAGAGTAACAAAAGCTGCGGGACAGGGTGGATTTAGCCACTGGAAATTAATTTCTCCATTGTGGCTATAATATTGATCCGATCTGATTCCAATTTGGTGATCTGATAGATAGATTTCCTACAGAATGGCGTTTTTAGTTTTCTTTTATCTTCAAAACTGTAGATTTTGGAGGTTTTCGCTCTTTTGCGGGGGCGAAAGGGGGCGTGGCTCATTTTTGAAATACACTGGTTTCAGTGTGAGCATGTAGGAATCTGGATGCAAAATTTGGTGGCTCTAGCTTTTATAGTCTCTGAGAACGAGCCGACAAACAAGACGGACAGACAGACATGGCTCTATCGACTCGGCTATTGATGCTGAACAAGAATATATATACTTTATGGGGTCGGAAACGCTTCCTTCTGTCCGTTACATACAACCGTTATTCGCACAAATACAATATACCCTATTTACTCTTTGAGTACCGGGTATAAAAACGGGCCCGTAAAGCAAGTGGCGTCATCGCAGCTTCCCCCTGCAGCGCACTCTCACTCTCATTTGCTATTTCTTTTCCTTTTCCTTTCTCTCTCTCTCTCTCTCTCCACTGTCCACAATGCGTCTCTGCAAGACTACCCACTGACTGCAGCTGTGTTTTGTTTTATACCAGGTACTCAAAGAGTAAATATGTAACGCACAGAATGCAATTTTTCCGACCCCATAGAGTATTTATATTCTTGATCAGCATCAATAACCGAGTCGATAGAGCCATGTCTGTCTGTCCGTCTGTCCGTCTTGTTTGTCGGCGAGTTCTCAGAGACTATAAAAGCAAGAGCCACCAAATTTAGCCTTGCCACCTTCCGCACCCACAAAGGGCGAAAATCGGCTGCGTCCTTAATTTTGAAGATAAAAGAAATCTATACGCCATTGCGTAGGGAATGACCACATCTATCAGATCACTGAATTATGATTATATTGGGTAATTATTATAGCCGGAATGAAAATTAATTTGCAGTGGCTACCCACCACGTCCAACAGTTTTTTTTATTTGTTGCACATTCTCTCATTCCACATTCTGCTTTGTGCAGTGTGCGTCTCTTGGGGTGGGGAGCGAGATAAAGAGTGTTTTTGCGTAGGAGTGATGTAAATGTTGATGACATATGTAGAAAAAATGTAAAATGTAAAATGTGAAAAAACCACTAAGGAACAGGTAATACTGAGCATAAAAGTTGTGACGCGAAAGAAGCGTCTTAGACGGCCCTCCTCGTTTTAATTATTTTCAAGTCCAACGAAAGTGAAAATGCTGCCGATCCCCCTTCAGTTGTCTTTGCTCTCTTCTCTTTGCCTAGCTCTACCTGTTCGCCTCCTCTGCTGTTTGTTGAGGAAATGAAGAAAACATGAAATTGACATAATCAACACGCAGCTGTACCTGGTGCAGGCTCGGTGACTGGTGAGGTTTCCCCTCTGCAAATCTCTTTAAAAATTCCTGTGTCGACGTCTCTGGCTGCGTTACAGGTTTTTGTGTCGCCTTGTTGCTTTTGCTTTTGTTGGTTGTTGCTTTTGTTTTTGTGATTGCTTTTGGTGTAGTTTTTTGTGTGTGTTCAATGAGCGCTGGAGCGTGTAAATATGTAAGAGTCGCCTTCAACCGGCTTTTTCGTGCAATATTTTTAAGTTTCTGTTTTGATACCCTGGCAGAATACAAGGAGGAAGTGTGTTCCAAATGGGGATGGTACAGTTTTGTTTTCCGATCTGATTTTTCAGCTTAACTTTTATAATTTCCCCTAGAATTTCATTCCAAAATGATATCAGTACCACATGAGGTACAAACACTCAGTACCGATCAACCTACAGGGTACCAAACACTTCGGTAGTACTCTTTCTTGTTTCAGCTTGTAGTTTTTGTTTGTTTTTATTTTTGCGCTGGTAAGTTTGGTGTGCTGTCAGTTGTTATACACGCGAATGCGAGCAAGTTGAATCATCTACCACATAAGTACATACATATGTATGTATGTAGGAAATGAAACTGCAGATGCAGTTATCCTTAGTGTCTACCCTGCCTACGCTTCATGCCATGGAAATTACACAGTCAAAACGCATCAGCAGCCGAAAACAACCACATGCACACTCACCCACAGACACACTAAATGGCAAAGGAACCGATAAAACGCCCTATAGGCACAAACGCCCAAAAGGGGGAAAAAATAAGCAAACGGCAAAAACAAACAAAAGCAGTTGATAAATAAGAGAGAGACGGGACAGACAAAAGATAACAAAACTGTGCATCAAAACTGAACAACAACACAACGTGAACGTTTTTTACTTCCTCTCTGGCACACACAAACACCATAGAGGGTGAGCCAAACGCGCAGATCTCCACAGAAGCTTTTAAGGGCGTTTTTTGTGTGTGAATAATTTTTAATTTTAGATTTTCTCATACTAGTGCAACACTTTTAGGAATTTTAATAGACATTAAATTCCATCTGTTGTGACATTTCAACGAATTTTTTTTAAATAAATGAGGCACTTTTTAATTTTAATTAAATTTGATTGATTACATTGCATATTATTTCGCACATGCTTTTATATAAAAACCAAATTGCAACGTGTGGGAGTGGCTTCAAATTTGCTAAATTTTTGGTTTTATATGTATGTGTGTTTTAATTATTTTTAAGATGCCCGCAAATTGGATTTTATATATTTCGGTTTGTTTTTTTGTGTTTTTTTTAGTAATACTTATACAGAAAAACCAAAAAGCACTAATAAAAGCAACTAGACAAGCTCCCAAAACTATTTTTCTATCGTTACATTACCGTTTTTTTTTGTTTTGCTAAACTATTTGTCGTGTTTTGGTTTTTCTTCACGTTTCTCTACAACCATGCGTTTTGCATGCCAGAACACACACCACACACGAAACAAAAGCAAACAACTTAAAAAACACAAATCCGTTTCGTATTCGTTGGTGGTTTTTGCTTTTGCTGATCGATCGTCGAGTGCGCCTGCGCAACGTTTGCGTGTCCGCCTTACGTATTATTTTTCTGCGTCCGCTTCAAGCGTCTGTCTTCGGAAAACTGAGTAAGCTTTGGAGCTCGGTACCCTACCAAATACAGAAAGAGAGCACGATTGGAAAACGTGAGAGGAAGCGTTTAAAAAGCTTTGGGGGCCAGCCGGACCATGAAGTAACTATACAAGGTATTCTCGTCGGCTGCCTTCGCATCGTTTTGCGCCCTTAAGGTCGTTTGTTTGATTCTGAATCACGTAAAGCTTTCATGTACATATGTAAGTATGTGAGGAATCACGATTTGTTCACATGTTGAATCATTTGGCATGAATCGTGGGTCATAGCTGAGGGCAGAACGAGAGAGACATATCCGAAAAGCTCGACCGCATGACTTAGCCAAATATTTAATTAGATTTAATATTCTGTGAATCATTGTGATTGTATGCGTGAAATGAGACTGTGTGCATCACACGTACACATGAATCGGTGATTCGGATTCAGCGTCTAAAATAACCTTTAGAGTTCAGTGCATGTTTTCTTGTCAAATTATAAAACAAACATACTCGTTTTCTTTTTAAGTTGCCTTTAAAGGGGTAATCAGCACCCTGAACTGTCGTTTCACTCACACTTACTGCTCAGAACCCTATTACTCGCACTTATTAACAGCGTGGCTGGTAGTCTACTTTTTTCCGGCGAGACCAACTTGTATAGTTGCATCATGAGCCGGAGCTTTTACCTGTTGCTAATTGCCTGCTAAGTTAGTGTGAATTGTTTATATGATTATATTTCCTAACAGTGCTTTCTATAAGTGTGAGTGAAAGGGCTGTGTGCTGTAAGTGTGAGTGAAACGATGGAGTGTGCTGATTAACACTTTGTTGGCATGGGGTTTGAGGTTTTGAGTTTGAGGAGTTGAAGCTTTCATTTGTATTTTGATGTTTAATAATTTACCACTTGAAATAGTCGTTACTATTGTTTTTTAATATATATTTTTTTTCTTAGGCTCTTAATTCTAAAATAAATTGCAACTTTCTTGGTGCAAACAATAAAATATCATATTGAGCGTAGGGGGGTTAAAATTGCGAAACAAATGGTCCGCTCCCAACCTTTCGCGTCGACATGCAAACAAACACTGAACTCTAAGGAAATAAAACAAACGAAGACGAGCAGCCGACGAGACCTCCTTTACATTTTGTTTCATAAAATAGTAGTGCCGGACCTCCTCACATTTAAAGACTTTTTTGAGACACTTCCCGACTTTCAATTTAAACAAATGATACCTTTTTGAATAGCCCTTTTTATACCCGGTATTCGCAGAGTAAATAGGGTATATTGTACCGTTTGTTTTACCGAAATGTTCAAATATAGAAACGAACAGAAAATGCATTCCATATTCCATAAATTCTGTAGGGAATGACCATATCCATCAGCTCACCAGATTGGAATCCGATTGGATCATTATTATAGCCACAATGAAAAAATTAATTTGCAGTGGCTAATCCCACCCTGTCCCGCAGCTTTTGTTGTTCTTTTCACATTCTCTCATTCACACTCTGCTTCTGCTTCACTCGGCCTCTGCCTCTGCCGTCCCTCTGCATATTCCTCTGCCGACTTTTATCCCACCCCGTCCAGCAGCTTATATTTGTTTTTTTTTGTCTGCAGTGTGTGGGTCTAGGGAAGGGCGGCGAGCTAAAGGAGCGTGTTGGTGTGAGAAGTGTTGTAAATGTAGATGACAGATGAAGAAAAAATTTAAAATTTGACAAAACACCGCTAAGGTGCAGATGTAGTACTGAGTGCCGGGTATAAAAGTTGTGACGCGTAAGAAGCGTCTCACACGTCCCTTCTCGTTTTTTCATCGAATCCAATGAAATTTCAATTACATCATTTGAAAAATGTTCAAAAATAAAAACTAACAGAAAATGCATTTCATATTTATGTATATTCAAAACTAGCATACTCTTTCCAAAGAGCACTCAAAAAAGTCACAATATAAAAAGTATAAAATTATATGCACGTGGTACTACCTGTGGTGTCCGCTATTGAATTAGCATCTATAGCCGGCTAGTGAGTAATTAATATTTAATTTGCTAATTTAATCCCTATAAGCGACTACCGAGCCACGCACCATCTCCATCGCCAAATCACCACGACTTAGCCTCTGTGATCTTGTGATCGGAGAGGAGATCTCAACTGGTAGGCTGCAAATTTGGATAACAAACATGCATAGAACAACATCTCTATTGCAATACTCGTTTGCTAAGCCAGAGAGTCGCAGACTCAAAGTAAATATATTTTATGATGTGCCAAATTAGCCACAAAACGTACACACAAATATCTTTGAACAATGCATAGTAAATGAAACATAAATGCGATCTTTTAAGCATTCCAAATGTGTACACAAGATCTTGGTAAATCATTAGATAAGCTTTGGGGTGCTCAACGCAGTTACTTTTTATGCTAAATAAATATGCACTAAGGATAAGGGCAAATATTAAATGTGTACTTTAAAAAGATGTTTAACTTTTTGCACAAAGTTGGGAGAATACTTAAAAAAAAAGTGGGAGCATAAAATATACAAAATCGATTCTGAGAATAAGGTAAGTAAAGTACATTTTCCCGACTTAGATTAGAATAAATTCAATACATACATATAAGAGAACGCGGACGTTAGTTTTAATTCTCTATAAATAACCAACAAATTTCGGCAAATTTCCTTCTAACGATTCATTTACAGTAAATAAAAGAACAAACGAACTTTATGAGATGCGGTGGAACGCCACGCAAGCCACTCAGAATCCGCTGCGCTCCCCCTAAAATCAATGCGAATCAAATGTTTACTCACCAAAACAATCGCCAGCTCAAGTTCGTTGCCAAAGTCGTTTGTTCTACCTGATTTTGTATTCTAAATCATAACCTTGGAGAGCGGCAGATAAAAACTAGAAAAATCTAAAACAGCATCCAACAGCATCCCTGAGCAACCAAAAATTAAATTTAATACAAATCCAGATACAAGGTCGCGGCCAAAGCGGTCAACGACTTTACTACGTGAATGGAAAATCAGCTTGCACATGAAATTCCCTGCCGCACAACAAAATACGTTGATCTGTTGTACAAAGTTAAAATTAATCACTTCTGAGCTACGCAAAAAGTGGCTACCGTTTAACATTTAAACATGAAATAAAAAAAAAAACACGGATGTGTCGCCAGTAAGGAGACCCAAAAGAAGCTAAAGCTAAAGACATTCGAGGACGGTCGTTGGTCCCTCGATCCAAACAATGCAGACTACAGATATTATGTTTCTTGCAAGAATTAAGTATCTGAATAAAAACGAGAAGGGACGTGTGAGATACTTCTTACGCGTCACAGCTTTAATACCCGGTACTCAGGCAGTATTTCTATACCTTATTGCTTTTGTATCCGGTCCTCGAAGAGTACAAATGGAGAACATTTTCTGCACAAAATGGATGCATGTAAGGCAGAGAAGGAAACGTTTCCGACCCCATAAAGTATATACATATAATCTTGATCAGCATCAATAGCAGAGTCGATAGAGCCATGTCTG